CCCTCGTGAGGAAGACGAGCTCCTCGTATCGAACCTTCTCCAAGAGTGCTGGCAAGAGGCTCGACAAGGAGTACCTGCAGTAAGGGCTGGGCTGGGGCTGGCTCTGGGGTGGGCTCTGCCCCTCCGCCCCAAGAGCACTGGGCTGGGGAGAGCTGGTGGAAGAGCTGCTTCACGCTGCTGTCATTCCTGAGTTGCCTTCCGACGGGGTCTCGTCCTGCCCAGGGTGTGTGATGAGCCTGTCTGGGAGAGCTCTGGGGGCATCTGACTCTCATGGGGGCAAAAGGTCTTGCTGGAGGGAACGGGGGCCCGGAGAGGAAACCCCTCCTCGGTCTGCCAGGACAAGCCGGCTGCTGGCTGGGTCCACGGTGCTGCCAGGCTGCAGCTTCTGCTTTTCTCAGTGTGTTGAACCTGCTGAAAACCACACGGTGCAGAGGAAAGAACCAGGAAAGAACCTGGGGGAATGGGCTCTCGTCCTCCTCCACACCGCAGAAGCAGCTGCTGCTCCGTTTGGAGAAACCCCACCAAGCCCTGGGCTGTGCAGCGCCTTTCCCCAGGAAAACCACTTTGTGGGCATCACGAGAGCCTCAGCAAAGCCCAGGGGAAGCTGCAAGACAGAGTTAAAGTTTCTGCTGGGTGCAATAAGGGCAGTCAACGTTGTCCTTCTCGCTCCATCCCTCCCTCAGGAGCCTCCACAACAAGCGGCTTTACCTGGCTGCGTTTGCTGCTGTCCTGGGCAACTTCAATTCTGGCTTCGCCTTGGTTTACGCCTCCCCCGTCATCCCTGCCCTGGAGGCTCACCCCAACCCTGCGCTGAGGCTGGACCAGCACACGGCATCCTGGTTCGGGGTAAGGAGTGGGGTTGTCCCTGCCGGGGCAAGGACAGAGCTAGGGGGTGTGCGGGGGGAGCCCAGACCCACCGAGGCCCCTCTCCGTGTCTCTCCGCAGTCGGTGTTCACGCTGGGAGCGGTGGCGGGGGGGCTCAGCGCCATGTTCCTCAACGACCGCTTGGGCCGTAAACTGAGCATCATGTTCTCGGCGCTGCCCTGCGCCGTGGGATACGCGCTGATGGCCGGTGCCCAGGGGATCGGGATGCTGCTGCTGGGCCGCGTGCTGACGGGCTACGCCGGCGGCGTGACGTCCGCCTCCATCCCGGTAATGTGCTGGGGGAGGGAGCTGGCTGGGGATTTGCACGGCAGGAGACGGGGCAGTGCTGTAGCTGAGCCTGAGGCATCCTGCTGCTTTATTTTTGGAGGCATCGGTAGAGCTCCAGGGCTGTGGCTGGACCATTGCGGGTGGGGAGGATGCACTGGGTCAGAAGCCCTGGCACAGCCAGCCCCAGCTGCTCCCACGGTGCCGGACTTTCTTGCCTGCAGAAAAGGGAAGGCAGGTCCTCGATCCCTGCCCTGTTCCTCCTGGTGGTTATTTCCTCCTACGTTTACCAAACACCAACCTCGTGTTGCATGCAGGGGGGAAGGCAAGAGTTGAGTAACCCTGGGCCGCGTCTTTCCAGTAACGGGAGCCTGAGTGTGCTGCTGGAGCACTTCTCCCATGCCGGGGGGGGACGGAGGGAAGCAGCGGTACCTGCAAGGCTGTCCTCTCCACCTGCCAGGACCCGCTCCTGCTGCTGGACCGGTCTGGTTTCCACCCCGAGAGGGCGGTTTGGGTTTCCCCTGGCTGCAGTGGGTGTCTGCGAGGTGTCAGAGGACAGATTGAGGTGGTGATGGCTGTGTGTTGCAGCTCTGTTAAGCGTGTGTTGTCTCACTCCAGGTCTACATCTCTGAGATCTCCCACCCCGGGGTCAGAGGCATGCTGGGCGCGTGTCCTCAGATCATGGCAGTGCTGGGCTCCCTTTTCCTGTACACGCTGGGCAAGTATCTCGGTGTTCAGAGGGCAGGAAACCCTCGGTGAGACCTTAGGGAAGGAGAGTTGATTCTAAACTACTTTCTCAGCAAGTTGATGGGTTCCTTCCCCTCACAGCCAGCTCACAATCACCACCACGGGTGTGCAAAGGGGGTCTGGACAGAATCACCTGGGCGTAACCCACACTCGTGTGTGTCCTCAGAGGGATGAATCCGTAACCCCCACGGACCCAAGGCCTGCAGACCCGGGTCCTGCCGAGGTTTTGTCAGGGCTGAAGGGCAGCACGTGATGAAATGCGCGTGCATCTCCTGCCAGCACCTACCCTGGTTGTGGCAGGATCTTGCTGGATGCTCTAAGATTTGGGGGAGCTTGCTGGAATTTCTCCATATCATACCCCTGAAAATGCTTCTTTGCTTGGAGAAAAGCACGTGAAAAATCCTTTTTTTTTTATTATTTTTTAATTTTTTTTTATCCCTGCTGGATTTATTAAATTGGTATCATACCCCTGAAAATGCTTCTTTGCTCGGAGAAAAGCACATGAAAAATCCCTTTTTTTTTTTTTAATTTTTTTTATCCCTGCTGGATTTATTAAATTGAATTATTGGGGTGCCCATGTGGAGGCAAGGCCAGGACACCCTTCCCTGCCTGCTCTCCGCTCCTAACTGCACTGCTCCGGCAGGGCTGGGCCTGGACTGGCGCTGGCTGGCTGTGGCAGGGGAGGTGCCCGTGCTCGTGATGATTGTCCTGCTCTGCTTCATGCCCAACTCGCCGAGGTTCCTGCTCTCCCAGGGGAAGGATGACGAGGCTCTGGGGTCGCTGTGCTGGCTGCGGGGCAAAGACACGGACTATGCCCGGGAGTACGAGCAGATCAAGGACAGCGTGAGGAAGCAGGTGATGGAGGCTCACCTCCAGCGTGGGGGAGATGTAATGTGAAAGCTGCAAAATCCACCCTCCATTGGGCAACTCCTAAGCCACCTTCTGGGCGCCGCGGTGGTGCCCACAGGTGGTAACACCTCAGCTTGCTGCCTTTGTCCCCTCCAGAGCCGGCGGGTTTCGTGTGCTGAGATCAAGGACCTCTTCATTTACAAGCCCATCCTGATCGCGGTGGGGATGAGGTTCCTGCAGCAGCTCTCGGGTGTCACCTGCGTCCTGGTGTACCTGCAGTCAATATTCAAGAAAACATCCGTCATCCTGGTGAGCCCTGGGGTTCAGTCCGTGCACAGACTGCCTTGTTTTAAGTGACGGCTGCCCAATGCCCCAATGGAGCAGGACTGGCCCCTCGTCTTCCTACTCTCTTCCTCTGAGCTTCAGGCTCTTCTTCTCTGGTCTCCTACTATAGGAGGATAGCTTTGACAAAGTCATCAGCCAGAGTCAAGGCAACACAACAACCTGTCTTTTCCATGTCTCTCCCATCTCTGCTTCCCCACTGCTTTGCCGTTGCAGAAACCAGAGTACGATGCAGCCCTTGTTGGCTTGGTACGTCTATTCTCGGTGGCGATCGCTGCTGTGTCAATGGATAAAGCTGGGAGGAAGATTCTTCTTTTTGTATCGGGTATGTGTCTCTCTCACTGTCGTGCAATCTTTATTTAAGCATTTCCAGGAACTCCGCCAACGTGCCAAAGTGTCAGCCATACAGGATTCGGGCAGGGCATGGGGAACGTCTCTTTCCTTTGGTGCTGGCTCAGCTCCTGAGCAGAGGCGTTCCCAGGAGCTTAGTCTTGGGCAAGTGATCCCCCACCCCGTGCCAATTGGTTCCACCGTGCTGTTGCATCTCTCTGCAGCTGGTGTTATGCTGGTCTCCAACCTGACCATGGGGCTCTACATCCACTTCGCGCCAGCTTCTCAGAATGACACCATTGCCAACAAGACCCTGGTGAGCTCTGCCAACCTTCCTGCTGAGCCGACAAACTACATCACCCTCATCCCCCTCCTGGCAACCATGCTCTTCATAATGGGTAGGTGCAGAGAGTGAGAGCCCAGGACCCACAGCACAGGGCTGGGCACCAGCCTGGGGGGAGGTTTCTCGTTTGAGGCAGGGTAACACGGAACACTGGGTTTGGAGTTGGAAGGAAGGCAGACATCCCTTGAAGACCAAGCAAGATGGCACCTGAAGTCACTTTGAGGACTGACAGAGCACGATTGGAGGGGAATAACGATTGATGGGGGAACAGTGCAGGATTACACAGGGCTCTTCCACACTCCTCAGTAGGCTTTGAAGCCTCAACAGCTTCACCTTACCCCTCCTCCCCTGCAGGTTATGCCATGGGCTGGGGCCCCATCACCTGGCTGCTAATGTCGGAGATCCTCCCTCTGAAAGCCCGTGGGGTGGCCTCGGGCCTCTGCGTTGTCATGAGCTGGCTGACAGCCTTCACCCTGACGCAGTTCTTCCTCCGGGTCGTGGTGGGTACTGCCCTGGGAGGGTGTCCAGCAGCCCCTCCTCAGACCCTCTCTGCACCAGCTCACGTCTGCTTTCTGTCCCACTTTTCCAGGAGGCCTTCGGCCTTGAGGTGCCCTTCCTATTCTTCGCTGTCATCTGTGCTGGGAACATCTTATTCACAGGCTGCTGTGTTCCAGAAACCAAAGGCAGGTCCCTGGAACAGATCGAGGCCTTCTTCAGGACTGGCCGGAGGTCGTTCATGAGGTAGGAGCTGCCATCTGCGCCAGGCTACCAGTCCACGTGCTCAAGGGCAACAAAGAAAACTGTTGTGCTGCTGGAGGCGGAGGCTGGAGCTCTCTGTGAAGGCAACGGGAGAGGAACGAGTGGCAACAATAGTCTCGCTTTGGAGGTAGAAGTTGCCCAACTGAAATTTTACCTTCTCTTCCCATCATTCAACACTACCTGTTGCTCTCCGGGCAACATGTCAACCCAAGGTATGGGACCAGATAACCAGCACCAGGCTGGAGATAAAGATGTCCTGGAAAATAAAAGGTGGGGCTGCAGACAAGAGACCATGCCCATCCTTCGCTCAGCAGCCACCAAAGCAGCCCGAGGGTTTGGCGGGAACAGAGTTAGCTGTAGCCATTTGGGCAAAAGTTCATCATGTAGTTGCAAGAATAAACCAGTTTTGCCTCCAACTGCAAGATGTTGCCTTGGTTTGCAGAGAGGGGAGCTGCAGGCGCGTGGGATGGGAGAGGCAGACCAGGACCGTGACAAGGGGACCACAGCAGCCTGCAGCTTCCCACATGACTCTCGTGTACTGAAGGATTGTGAAAGAGGCAGAGCCAGATATTTTGTATAAAAAGCTGCCACGTTTTATTGCTCTAAAAACACACATTACACTAGAAGCCTAATGAACAAGACCACATACAGTTCACAAAGAAAACCCAGGACAAAACAAAGAACAGGAACGGACAAACATTCCAGCTGTAGTGCAAGTGATTCACTGTAGGAAAGACACAGTGGGTACTGACAACACTTTGTACTGGGGCAGGTCCTCCCCACCCCAGGGTTTTACTCATCCACAAAGAAGAAGGTGGATGCTCCTCCATCACAGTTGTGTGGAGCCTCCACTTCCAGCACTTTGAGATTTCAACTGCATAGTTAGTAGCAAGTTGCTCTTACCCCTTCCCTCTGTGTCCTGCAAGATTAAGGACTTTATTTTTTTAGAGCCTAACCTTAGGTAAAACACAGCTGCAGGAGGTGGTTACGGCTGTGAGGAACAAATGGCCTTGCCGAGTACCACATCCAACCTAACTCCTCCCAAAAGGGCAGAACAACAAAGGCTGAGCTGGGAGATGATTTGCCCAAGCATTTGTCCAACCTCCTGAAATGCACTTGGCACCCCAGGGGCTGGTGGAGATGCTTGTGTCCTCCCAGTCCTGGAACATTCAGCCTGCCGTGACAAGGAAGCATGGGGTAACATAGCATATTTGACCCAGATCTCAAGATATGCTAGCTACTATTGAGATCCCCTGCAGCAGGAGATGAGAGAAATCACCTAAGAGAAGATGCGCTTTATCAGAGGATTAATTTAAAGCAGCCTGGGACAGAAAAAGAGAGATGGGCCAAAGTCAAAATCACAGAGAAAATCCAGTATCAGACCTAACCTTTGCAGCTGAGACCCATTTCCAGAAAGATGTTTGCCCCTGGCTGGAATATGACTGTTTCTAAGCACGGCCTGATTACAAGAGGTCTCAAGAGCCTCTGGTTTCCACTGACCTTTTGAAGATCAGAATCTCTGGCAGCCCTGTGCTAGTGTTCTCTTTGTCACATGGCTATGGACCAGGTCTTGATATCTTCACTTCAGTGAAACCCTTCCCTGAAGACAGTGGATGTTTTTTCCTGAGGAAAAAAATGACAAAGATGAATTGAGCTTCCCAGGGCTCGGCCTAAGGAGGAAATGCCCAAATATGAAATGAGGTTGGTCCTGCAAGAACCTCATTGGAGAAGCATTTTCTGAGTGACCCCCTTTCTTCAGTATAGAAAGTCTGAGGGTTTTTGCTACACCATTTAGAGTCTGAGAAATCACAGTGGCTCTTTCCAGAGGTAGAATGGTCTTTTTATTCACTGCACACACAGAGAATCGATTGGTGTTACAAAATCAGCTCCTGCCCAGAGCAGCGAGGTCTGGGTATGCAGCAGAAAGTGAGCTTCTGCTCTTCTCTTCACACCCAATGGACAGCCCCAGGGGACAGCAGAGCTAATATGCACCAGTGCTGTCAACTTCATGACTGAACGGGACACGGAAGAGTTGGACGCTGTATAAATGCACGCGGGTAAGAAGCGCACAGCTCACGTGGTGAATGGTGTGACAGTCCGTCGCTAAGTGCACGCGTGCTACCAGTGCCCAGGTGTCTTTCCACACTTGGTGTCAACAACTCACTGTAGTCAACACATCACCCGCTCTTGAGTTCTCACGTAACAAAACTTCTGTCCCATCATCCCCCAGGAGGTCTTTCCAAGACCTGGCAAGCAGAACCTCTTCTACAGAGACCCCATGGATTAGCCATCCAGCCTGGATGCCATCAGCAGGGATTGTGTTGAGCTTGTAAAATCTCTAGAGCAGGACTTTTAGCTTCATTTCTCCTTACACAGCTCCAAGCACCCTGAAGGTGCCTCTAAACACAATTAATAACCACCATGCACTGTGAATGGGCATATTAACTACTGTGATGCTACTACTCTAAAGGTCCTTTCTATCTCCACAAAAACAGTCTCTTCCCCATATGGAGGTGAGATCATCCACTAACTGTCACTACAACTCTTAAAAGCCATGGGTGCTGTCACCAAGCCACGTCTGCAATGATGGCAGCCTCTGGCTTGGTTTCAGCTGCATCACAGACAGCCGAAATTCCCAAGAGCTCCCGCTCCAGACACACATCTGTAGGAGTCAGCGCTCTTGGAGCACGGATCTGAGACACCTCCTGTTGTGGCAGGCGCAGAGACGCTGAACAGACCTGGTGTCTTTAAGCGTTGTGGCCAAAGGCTCCAGCTCAGCTCTCACAGAACAGTCCCTGAGGCCCATTTTCAACAAAGGCATCGAGCTCAGACCTGAGCTTCACAACCCGCTAACGGTGACAGAGCTGTCAGACTGTTCGCTTGCCTTGGCCCCAGTGTCAGACCCAACTGCCACGAAACACAGCATGGCAGTACTGGTGCCAAGGGAGCAGAGAGGACCCGTCCGTGCCGACGAGCCCTCCAGGCGACCTGGAGCAGCGCCTGGGACTGCTGCTGGTCTGTGGCATCAGGACAATCAGATGAAGCCAGCGAGGGTCCTAACCAGCTCTGTGGTTCGTCACCACGGGTGTAGATCAGCCTGCAAGCGTTACTCTACTGCCCCTGCTTTGCCTTTTGCCTCCTGTCCCTAAAGCTCCTGTGGAACTACTCACAGAGCAAAGCAGTCACTACCAAAGACATGCTCGTAGCTACGTGCATCAGTCTGCAACATTCCTCTACTAAACACTACTTATCTCCCCAAACCCCCCATGAAATCAAAGCACGTGTCCTGCTAGGCAGGACTCCGCACTCAAACCACCCAGTGAAGGTGCTGCACAGGGACACTGCCGGCTCGAAGAGCAGAGAGGCTGTTACCAGTGGAGTATCCTGCACTCTGCAGGGTGTTCCTCTGCAGCACCCCGTTACAGCAAGCAGCGTGACCCACGCAGGAGGCTGTGGTCCCTGCCCACACGCACAAAGGCGGCCAACGGCCCATGCACGCAGCAACGGGGCTCAGCCCAGAGCTGGGGGCTCCGAAACAGCACAGCCTTTATTGAAACAAGCTGCCTCTGGGCTGGTGGTGCCTATTCTGCCTCCCAGACAAGCTGGTGTCAGAGCAGCCACGGCTCAGAGGCCTGGGGGAAAGGGGCTTAGCACAAAGTGGCTGCCCAGCATCCAGCTGCATGGGCCTGAGTGGGTAAATAAACCCAAGCGGCGCTGCTGGCTGGTGTAAATCCTCACACCTCCCTGAACTCCACCGAAGAAAGAGCAGCTAACGTTAGCTGGCAGCTTAGCCCCCTGATCCCCACGGACCGCTCTGCTCCTGCCGTGGCGCACACGCTACGCCCGTACCCAGCCACCCCCTCCAGCAGCGGCGCCATCCCGGGCTCTGCCAGGGACGTGCTGGTGTCGTTCAACGAAGGCGAATACACACGGTACCTAGAGGAAGGACAGATCCTTCTGACAGACAGCACCCAGCCTCCAGCAGCATTTCTCAGACCACAGCACGACCCCTCTGGTCGCCCAGCGATTCCAATGGGACCACAAAGTTTTGGTGGCAGCAGGAGCCACTGCTCGCCATAGCTGCTACCTGCCTTGGCTGCTGAGGGAGCACAAACCTCCAGCCCAGCAGTTACAGCCCAGTTTTCCTCCCTTCTCTCTCCAAGGAGAGGGGGAAACCAGACATTTTCAAGCCAGTGGCCCAGAAAAGGGTCAAAGGACCACACCTTTTCCAAAAGCATGAGAAACACTCCAAAGGCTGAAATAGGATTTTACAGTATCCCAGTTACAGCGCCCCAGTTACTGCAGCCAGGGCTCTCCCTGGGTTGAGAGATGCCCCCAGTGAAATGAGGCAGTCCTTTGAAGGACAGGAAAGAGAACACTCTTTTCTCCCATGTCCAGAGAAAAGGAGTCCCTTCAAAATACTTAAATAACTAGAAATAAATTATTCCCCTTTTTCCTAATCAAAATAAAAAAACAATCATGTAACATCAAATAAATTAAAACCCCCAGAAGAAACCATGGTGAGAAGAGAGGGGGATCTGGACTTAAGGAGCAGTTTTGTTCTGCATGATACAAAGCAAACAGAAAACATGATGCAAAAACCACTGATGGAGCATGGAATAAAGCAGCAAGACATCCCAGCGCTCCACACTGAAATGGTGCAGCCTTCTCTCTGTTTGCAAAGGAAGGATATGCCACCTTCCCACACAAACCCAGCCCAGGACTGATGCAAAAAAGAACATGAGCCCAAAGAGAAAGACTATACCAGACAGAAGCAAAGCGCAGGTCCCTTGCATGGAGGGATGGGTCATGGGAGCAGATGCAGGGAATGAGGGATAACAGAGCAGAGTCCCAGGCTTTAGAGAGGAGGATGCTCTTGCACATCAGTAACTCTTAGACCAGCAAAAAATCCCACTTGGCTCAAGCAATAATAACCTTTTTCAGCTGAGGTAAAGCAAACCTTATTTCCCTTCTTCCCCAGTAAAAAGAGTGAAGCTTAAGAAAAGTACCCTTTTTAAGACAAAGTAATTGACTCTTACAATTCAAGTAAATTGCAGTAACTGCCTGCAGCTGCATGAAGAGGAAGCGGGGACTGTGCTTTGTAAGTACCAGGATCTGCCCCAGCACCCCTGGCAGCTCCTCTGCAGAGATGGTTGTTGTCTTTAGATGGGTTTTTTTTGCTGGAAGTCCTTTCCCGTGCAGCGATGCCTACGATGCCTGGCCCATATTAAAATAAACTCAGTGGAAGAAGACCAAGCTTGAGCATCACCATGTATTGCTAAACCCTGGCTTAGTGTGTTATACCTGGGAAGGGCCATAGCGGAGAGCGTTACTAAAAACGTGTGATGTGCAAGGGCAGGTTACCCCCAGGTGTGAGGCCGGCAGCTCCCTGCCTCCCATGAGACCAGGGTGGGCAAGGAGCTGGCACGTCAGCTCTGTCCCTGCTCACCCCATCCGGAGAGCAGCTCCCCAGTGAGCACTGCACCCTTGGCTCGTTATCAGGCACCACTCCAAAGAAAGGCTACCTATCCAGGCTTGTAAAGCAGCACTCAAAGAGCCAGCACCTCTGCAGGAAAAAAAAAACCCATAAAAATTAAAAATTAAAAAATAGGGGGTCTGTGAGATATTTGGTTGAGAATTGAGAAGGAGATAGGGGCCAACACGCTGAGATCTGGCTGCTGGTGTAAGAAGGGGGCAGCACAGCCTGCCCCAGCCCCTGAGATTTCCAGTTGCTGCAGTGTCCGGGGAAATCGTCGCAAAATGGAGAGGGGGGCAGGCAGAGGGAAGGGCAGAGTGGATTTCCCTATCTTCACCATCTCAGCGTCCAGGAGAGGTTACGCCAAGCTCACACGTTTCAGAGAGCCTGTCCCTCCAGGGCGCCCGTCAGCTTCTCTTCATCCATTTGCTTCTGCTGCTGGTGGATACGGGCATAGGAAATGGCATCTCCCCTGCGGAGAGAAGGGACAGCGTGGGGCTGCGAGCTCCGGGTGCCCACCATGGTGGGTACAGCACCTGGCAGAGAGGTCTCCCAACCAGGGCCCAGGCCTCCCTGTGCCGAGGGATGCCAGGAGTAAAACGAGACTTGCCGGCCCTCTCCAACCCCACCAAAGCTGCTCCCTGCCCCCAGAGCTGAGCCCACCCATCCAACAGCTGCAGAAAGAGGGCTGGGACCCACAGGGCAACCTAGATTGAGCTCCCAAGGAAAAGCTCAGAGCTTCAGCAAACCTTAGGACCTTCCCTCCCAGGGCTTTGAGATGATGGCAGGGAGACGTTCTCCAGCGGCATGGTTAGTGCAAGAGGAAAGCAGAGCCTCAGGGAGGCAGATGGGGATGAGGGCTGGAGGCCCACCTTCCCCTTCCCTCCCCTCCCCAAGCAGAGAGATCTCTCTTACTTTTTGCCGAGCGCCGACAGGCCATAAAGCACCCCGGTGGCAAACGCGATGGCATTTCCGAAGAGCGTGGTCAGCGTCAGGCTGAGCATGACGGGGAACACAGCCATCCTGGAAGAGAGAGGCAGCCCTCAAAGCCAGGCTCTGCTCCCCGTGGGATACGGGGATGCTCATCCATCGTGGCGCACCCACGCGCATCCCAACACGGTTCCTGGGGCGGCTTTGCCACCACAACACGCCCCGGGAGCATCCTCACCCGCAGTAGAAAGCAGCTTTCTGCCAGGGCCGCAGCTTGTCCGCCCTCGCAGAGACGGCGTTTGCAAACTCGATGAACTGGCAGCAGAAGGGGGCCTCGCACAGGAAGAGGACGAAGGCGTTGAGCCTCCAGACAGAGCAAACCAGAGTTAATTCTGCCCGCACGGCCCACAGCAAGCGTTGGCCATGGCCCCCGGAGACCAGCCACTCCCTTGGCCAAACGCAGGCAGAAGGGAATGGCGGGGCTGGACCCCACCGCACTCCCTCCCCATTTCTTGATAATTCGCAAACCCTGGTCCCCCAGACTTATTTTGGACAAGAGTATCTCAGTATTGACCTAAAAAGGCTAAAAAAAGAATTAAATAGAGTAAACCCAGCATCTCAACCCACTTGGTAGAGCAAGATCTAGCAATTCTCAGAGCCCGCAGTGCCCGATGCCTGGATCCCTTGCGTCCACTGCCCAAGCAGGGCAGCTCTGCCCCTCGCCCAGTGGTGTCCAATCAACCAATCTTCCCTCCCAGCAGTAAAAAAGAAAAGGAACTCCGCTCACATCATCCACACGCCAGCCGCGATGTTCAGGGGGTTGATGGTGACACAGTTCCAGAGACCAGCGAAGGCACAGGCTGGAAAGCAAAGAGGGGTTCAGTGACCATGAAGACCAGCCCAGCGCACCCATGGGAGCAGCGGGGCCGGAGTCCAGCAGGCAGGGCTGGCTTCTCCTCCCAGCTCTGCCCTTGCAGCCACACCAGCACGACTTCACTCTCCTGTGTTTTGGGATGTTTTGCAGTGCAGCGGCTGCCCAGAAGACCCCTTGCCTTGTCCGGCATCTCTAGGCACTGGAGAGCAGCCTGTACAGGAGGGCGGGTGGAAAGGTCTGGTGGCTCAAAGAGGAGCCTGGGATGCAGGGGAGAGGGTTTGTTCCCAGCTCCTCCAGCTGGGTATCCTTTTGCTCCGAGTGCTTGTTGTCTCAAGGAACTATTTCACTCGTGTAGAACAACAGAGCGTTTGCTTTTACGTGGCATCACGTACGTGGCACCCTGAGGCACCCTGGGTTTTATTTGCTAAGGAATTACTGCTTTCTCCCAGGATGAACAAAGAGGTCCCAGCAGGCACCCGTCTCCGAGCAACACAGGGAAAGTTCAGTGAAAACATGACTTGCAGCACTAAGGCACACAATAAATAAATAAAGCAGAGGTGAACCTGGTCTTAGCCACACGCTGCTGGTTCTGCACTAGGGGTGGGCAGAAGAAAGCCAAGTCTGGGACTCCACTAATGCAGCTGGAAGCAGATGCTAGATAAAGCAGAGCCCAAAATAGCCCCAGCACTCCTGACTCTGTAATGCAAGGAGAGGAACCAAGCAGCAGCATCCAAGCTGAGGTTGCATGCGCCTTCTTCCTGCCTCATTAAACTTGCAGAGCGTTCCTGGCACTTGATACAGCCCTTTTCCTCCGCTGATACCGACAGGCTGCTGCTGCTCACCTGGGAACGCGAGCCCAGGCAGGGAGGGCAGCGAGACACGGACGGTAAACACCACCACCCTGCAAAACTCCAGCCAAAATTGTACAGCCCTTAAAGGCCGCCTTGGGGATGATTTGTGGCACAATGAAGAGCAGCAGAGTCCGTCTCTGAGAACGGGACCAGCCCGGGTTCAGCTATTTCAGATGTCTGCTTGTGTTTTGCTAAGGGGATCCCTGAGCAGAGCTGCCGAGAGCAGTCTTGACCTTCAAAAGCCCGGCACACGTTACAAGGTTTCTTTCAAGAAGTCACTGCTGAATCCTCCAAGTTCCCCCCAAAATAGTTATCCTTATTTACCTGACTGGGAAACAGAGCTGCAGGCCTATGACGGGACTGATCTAAGGTCATCCCACAAGCAAATGGCCTCCTGTTTTTCGGGAAAAAACTAAACAAGGTTATTTTCAAAGGCCTCCTAAGACTATTCCACAGGACCCAAAAGTCTTTCACAGAATCCTGCAAGAACAAGATCAGCCACCAGAGGAGAAATGCCAGAGGATCTGTTACCAGCCATGCTCCAAGGGCACTTCTCAGCTTCCCAGAGCAGAGGGACCTGTGTCAGTGTCCCCACACTGCAGGGAGAAACTGAGGCACGGGAGTGTGATGATCTGCCCACGGTCACACACGCAGACAGCTGGAGAGTTAGAAAAGCAACGGAAAGTAGGATTGCTGGGAGCAGCGGGCAGGACAGAGAGCAGGGCACAACACAGAGACTTCTAATTCTTCTCCGTGACTGACCAACCCTTGGGTGCTGGTGGAAGAGGAGCTCAGGGGAAGCACAAGTGCTACAGGCTCGTGACACTTGCTCTCCCTCACGAAAGCACGCTTGTGAAAATAATGCTGAACGACTTTCCGGCACTTCATAATTAGCAGAGCAACAAAAATCAGGTACACCTTGAGCACCACTGAAACGCAGCCGTGGCTTAACAGCACAGCAGAGCTCAGCAGTCCAAGCAGTTCACAGCTACAAAATCAACCTCAACCACAGAACAAACCTAGGGAGACAGAACGTTCTTTTCCAAGCAGGTTTTTTTGCCTTACTCTTTTTTTAATCTAGCCAAACAGAGGTGGTTTCATCAGGGTTCTGGTTTGGTTCTGCCCTCAAACACCCCAAACCAACCCTTGAGCACTAAGTGTCCCTGCCGGAGTCTCAGATAAGCAACCACCCCGGTTGCCAATGGACTAATGACCCGGCAAGCCCGAGCTGAGCAAGCCACTACGTCAGCACAAGCACCAGCCAGCAGGGAAGGAGTCAAAGGTTTACAGTCGCAGGAACACTGCACTCGGTGGCGGCTGCCAACAGCCACAGAGACAACGATTTGGTGACCTTCAGTCTCCTTTGCAGAGCAGCACATCCCACAGCAGCCTGGTACATCCCTGTCCTACTGGGATGGGACCTGCACCCGCCTCAGTAGCCAAAAGCGGACCGAGGTGCCAACCCAGAGACTTCTTTTTGCAAAACAGAGGCCTCGCAATAGGTTTAAAATGTAAATAATGCTCAATGGCACGTAAGCTATGGAAGAAGGACAGTTGTGCCATTTGTTTAACTGCTGTCCCATCCCAAATCCCTGAGGAAGCACAAATAACTGGGAGCTAAACTGAGGGGGAAGAACACCACCCCCTACAAAGGCTCTATTCATTTCAAGCAGCTGGTCACTGTCCTCAGCACAAGCCTACTTTTGCTCCGAGAGCTTTTCACAAAAGCCACACTCTCCTCGTCCTATTACAAACAGGAACACAAGGAAGAGAAAGGACTTGGCCAAGGTCACCAAGCCAGTCACGAGCCAGAAAAGATCCTGAATCTTGTTGTTCTTGTTCCTGCTCCGTCCCCTGGACCTTCCTGGATTAAGCAAGTTGTGGGCAGCAGGTGTCTGCATGTGGTAGACGTTGTCTGCAGTCTCACCTCCGCTAACAAAGTTCCTCTTCCTTTCTACAGGGAATTTTTCCTTCTGTAAGAAATAATCCAGCCCTGTAGCACAATCCCGTTGCTCAAAACCCTTATAAATGAGTTCTGTTCTTTCACAGCAAGCTCTGAAAACAGCAGTGAACTCCAGCCTTGCTGTTTTATTAGTCATCCCTTTTCCAAACTGCCCACCTTCAACAAGGTGGTGCTGACCAAGGAGCGTTTTGAAGAGGGCCATTACTAGCATGGGGCACTGGAGGGCTGCCTCTTTCCACAGTCCCCCATTTCCCTGCTTGTATGAGGAGTCTGTGTCTCACACTACCTTGGTCTCTGCCTGACAAATTTCATGAGGGGAGACTGTCAGGGCTACAGAGCAAGCTGACTCCCCAAATCGTCGGCAATCCTGTTAAGAGCCTGGCTCTTCTTCCAAAAGCTTCTTCTCACAGACTCACTCAAATACGTAAAACTCTGAGCTTCCTTTAAAAACAAGTCACAAGCTCTCAGAGCTGTGAACAAAAGGTTAGGAAAATAATCCAAGTATAATTCAGCTGCTTTGAAACATGAAGACAGAGAGAAAAAACCCATGTTTTCAAAGACTTGCACTTTTAAGCCACTCATGAGCTGCTCTGGCATGAGGTGGGCAATGCCACCAACACAACCCAACAGCAATCCCCTCCAGCTCTTCACCCTCCATCCACATCCCCCTGAGCTCTGCATGGACCAAAGCCACGTAAAAAAGCACCGAGGCTCCAGCTAGAGCCCCAGCCCGTGGGAAAGACGCTGCTACACTAAACCCCCACCTGGGACCTGCACTGAAGACACGTCCCAGCTGGTCTCTTGGCCGCCTGCCGGGACCAGAAGCGCAGGGGCCCCAGGCAGAGCATGGCGAGGCCAGGACGTTTTGCCCCATAAAAGCAGTCCTACCAAATCTTTTCACACCTCCGGAATTTCAGCACCTCAGACTTAAAACAGTGAGAGGAGCATATGTTTTACCAGCCTAGCCAAAAAGGGCTGTAACGAGCCTGCCCAACGATACCATGGTCTACAAGGTCGGCTGCAAAAACGCCGTGGGCTTGTGCAGTCCAGTCCCAAGGCAAGAGACAGGCATGGGAAGGGGGCAGGGAGAGAGGGGGGATCAGACGGAATGCTAGAGCCGAAGGGATAAATCAGGGCTGACTGCACTGGCTGAGAAATACTCTTGTTTTACTAGAAGTCGTGGACCTGAAGCAGAAGAAATTCTCCATCCTGTGCTCTGCAGGAGATCAGACTAAGCGGTCATAACAGTCCCTCCCGCTTTTAAGAGCTATTAATCTCTCCACAGAATGTAGCAAAACAGCACTACAGGACAGGCTGATTTCTGGCAAAGTTGCAAAGGCTCTTTCCCTGGGAAAATTTTTTTCAGCAGCAGGTAATTCAGAGCGCAGCCAACTCACTTTGCTGTATGCAGACTCCCTCCTTCTCTGCGTCCAAGACTAAATCCCTTAAAAACACATAACACAAACCAAGTCCATTATTCGCCTTCGGAAAACAACGCAGGCAGGCCCTCTGCAACCAACAAGAGGGGTAACAGGAAACACGCTCCGACGTTCAGGACTGGGAAAGAAAATAAGTTGCAGGAACGTACAAACACCCGACGGTCAAATAAGACGAACCAAATCCCGTGGCCCCTCGTCAAGCCCTGAACCTGATACCTGCTGAGCACCCTGAGCCTGGTGCTCGCAGTGAAATCATCGTCTGGTTTATCTGCCCACAGCCCTCCCGCGGGACCAGGGGTCAGCTGCTGCTCCCGTCCCTTCCAGCGAGCGGCGGATCCAAGAAGAAACTCGAGGATTTGCAG